TGGTATTATAGGGAACTAGTCCTCACAACCGAGTAAAAATGATCCTCGATGGACAGCGATTTCTTAAGAACTCTCATAGCTATGGATGACCACATGTGTATTTTTATTATGATAATCAGAAGAAATCGCGGTCCAAGGAGGATTATATATTTTAACCATTCTTTGAATTTGTTTTTCTGAGCGACATAACAACCCTAAGGGCCGGTTTCTCAAGTCCCTGTCAAAGTCCTTGATAGCTATCTGTTCGAAAAACTTAAAGACCAGATAAACTGTTCGTAAAAGCAAATCCGCTTTCTCGACTGCTTTAATTTATCTGAACGAGAAACAATTACAGAGTGCTGTTAACGCACAGAATTGTGCTGTGAAGCGCAAAAAATGGCATGCTTCGATTATTTCATCAGCTGTTTGGGTATAATTTAAAGGAAAAGTCAGCTGTGATTTCGTTTCTTCTTCATAGTTGGCTTCGGGAAATCAGCTGTCATTCTATCGAGTCGAAAACGCTTAACAGGGACTCCGAGTCCCTGTCAAAGTTAGCTCTCACATTTATGCTCGAGAATGCCAAAATGCCTTAACAGGGACTTTATCTGTTCGAGAAATGTTAGCCGGCACTCGAGAAACCGGCCCTTAGTGTATAATTTCGTTTTGTCTGCGGCAAAATAGGCTCAAAGTCGCATCTGACTGACGCGTCGTAACCAGGGCTTGTGGGCTAGGGGTGTAGTCGCTCGGCTGCGGATGGTGTCGGACCAAGTTCAACTCCGACTGAACGCAATCTTTTTAAAATAAAATTATGCTATAAAAATGCTTCTGCTTTTAGAACTTTTTTTACCAGTTTTATTCAACTTTTTTTTGCTGATAAGCGTTAAAAACAACATTTAACAAACAAACAAAAATAAACAAAATAAAATTTAAAAACGAAAAAAAATACAACACAAATTTAAAAAACAAACAAAAAAACTAAAAACAATTTAAAAAACAAAAAAAAACTGTAAATAACACAACAGAAGTTTTTGTTTGTTTACTTTTGCTCTCATACACTCAAAATAAAATTAACCCTAAAGTCAAGGAAATCGCCCTACTTTTGTCTTCAAGACAAGCTCGCCCTAAATTTTAGGGTCACATTTTTCTATATTTTTGACGTCATATTTTTAAATTTTAGGGTAATTTTACTAAATTTAAGGGCAAAAATTTCTAAAAAGTAGGAAATTTTCCTAAAAAATATAAATTAAAAACAAAACAAAAAAACATGTTCAATCATGATTATTATTATGTATTAGCGCTTGGATTTCTTATCTAACCAAAGCCAAATGTTGTTGTAAATGTGGACTACGGGACTGCGGAAGATTGGGAATGTAGAAATTATGATTAGTTAATATTTTATCTTCATGAAAAAAACTTACATTTTTACTTGTCCGTCTGTGAGAATCGAACCCGGGTCTCCCGCGCGAGGAGCGAACGGCCTACATACTGGGCCATTGTAGCACTTAAATTTGCTGTAGCAAACCGAGCATTGTATGTAAAGGGTCAAGCGGAGAATACATTTGAATACTAATTGCATAATTTTGACCATTCGCGTTTTACTTATTTACATACATATATACTTATGTATATATTTATGCTATCGCAATTTATATTATGTGTAGTATATAGTAAATAGCTAAATATAAACCAAATTATTTTCGGTTTACCGCTTGCCATCAATAAAAAAAAGGAATAAAAAAAAGAGTAAAAAAACAAATTTAAAAAAAAACTTTAAAAAAAAACTTAAAAAAAAGGTAAAAAATAGTTTGCTCTGGGACTCGAACCAGGGTCGATTCGATTTCTAACCAAGCGCTTTAACCGTCTGCGCTACGAGTACAGCCGCCCGGCAGCTGACAAGTTCTGGTATTGAACATTTTGGTGTGCCAGAGCATTTCTATTTTTTAGAAAAACTTTCTACTTTTTAGAAAATGTTTCTATTATTTAGGGTTAGCTTAATTTTAGGGTTAGGGCACTCATTTTTAGAAAAAGTGTTGCCAAAATATTTTATTATTTTCGTTTGCCTTTCTATTTTTCAGAAAATTATTTCTAATTTTAAGGGCATTTTTTCTAGATTTTAGGGTGATTTTAGTTCATGGTAACCATTTTCTACATTTAAGAAATACTTCCTGGATTTAAGAAAAACTTTCTTGACTTAAGAAAAATTTCCTTAGACTTAGAAATAACTTTCTTGTATTTAGAAAAAAGAAATTTTAATGGCGATTTTCTAAAATTTAGGGTTAAATTTATTTTGAGTGTAGGTGCTAATATAAACATTTAAATTTAAATTGGTCATAAATCATAATACCTTTTAAACGAGGTATAGCACATGGCTGTACCTTTAGTAGTGTAGAACTTACAAACTAACGAAATGTAGCTATTTTAAACTTTTTCCCGCTAAAGTAGCGGCTTTTTCAAAAAGTCGTAGAACAAAAGATTCCTATAAGGAACTCTTAAGTGCAAATTTACTGATTCCATGACTTTAAAATACAGTTCGGATACCCTCCCACAAAATTCAATACTCAGGGAGCGTTAGTAGTTCGAGCTGGCAAAAGTGGCTATTTTCGTATAAAAATAACTTTTAAACGTGACTTTTTACAGTAATGTTTTATTCGCCAAAATTTAGGGAATCTCAAGGGTTATACAGTTCAAAGTTGTAAAGAAAATCGTTATAGCCGTTTTTAAGAAAAATAAAAAAAAGATAAAAAAAAGTTTTAAAAAATTGTCTTTTGTTCATATCTTTTTAACTATTACATTTACATTTAAATTGCATATAGAAGGCGTTTATAGCATTTAAAAATACCTTTCAAACGAGATGCAGCACAAGTCTGTAGCTTTAGTAGTATAGAAGTTACGGCTTTCCTTAGTTAAGTTTTTGCAATACCTTTCGATTACTCATTACGATCGGACTATCACAGCAGATTTTCAATTTTGCGGCTATATAATAGTAGTCGCCTTCGCACACTCTCCTGGTGCGCTTCGTCACTACATGGACTGCCGTCCATAGTGATTAATACAAATTTAAATTCAAATCCTTCACAACAAATAACTGGATAATAAATAGCACAAATAAATGAATAAATAAAATAATAAAAAAAACTAACCAGACAATATAAAATAAATAAATTATACTAAAACTAAAAAAAAACAAGAAAGGAAGCTAGCTTCGGCCAGCCGAAGCTTATATACCCTTGCAGATCATTCCTATTAATTAACAAATCGCAAAAATGTTCAATTATCTAATATTTCTCATTAATTTTCCGATCGTTCCTATGGCAGCTATATGATATAGTCGTCCGATTTTGATCAAATTAAAATTGAAATTCGGAAATATTAAAAAAATAGTAATATCCTAGAGTAGAAGATAATACAATAAAAACCAAAGAAGCTAGAATTTATTTCCTATTACTTTTCCATTAATTTTCCGATCGTTCCTATGGCAGCTATATGATATAGTAGTCCGATTTTTTAAATAATTAATTCGAAATTCAGAAATATTTAAAAAATTACATCCCCAAAAGTAGAAGGTAATATTTCAGAAAACACCGAAGCTATAATTTTTTTAACGTTTTCTTTTCCGATCCTTCCTATGGGAGCTATAAGATATAGTTGTCCGATCCGGTCGGTTCCGACATATATACAACCTGCAAGAGAAAGAAGACTTTTGGGAAAGTTTTATCCCGATAGCTTGAAAACTGAGAGACTAGAAACGGACGGACAGACGGACAGACGGTTAGACGGACAGACGGACAGAGTGCCTTAAAAAAAATCTTAAAAATTTTTTAAGTATGGGGTTTATCTTTTAAAAAACTTTAACTTCGAATCAAGCCATGCATCCATTTGCCTCTGAGAGCTCCGCAAAGTTGGTCAATTTCAGCATTTTTCGAACTTTGAGGTCCTTTTGCTAAGAATCCTTGCGTCGGGGAACTCTTTGGAAAACGCAGTTTAACTTGCGAATTCCAAAAATATAGCATTCATCGAGGTTAATTTTTGATGCTGCATAGTGTTATTGATCATCCGTACATGCCTTCCATAAAATGTAATTTTAGATTGAGAAAATCAGATAAGCAGTAGGTTGTTGTAATTAATCAGTATTGTAACAAAATTGAGTTTGATTCATAGTCCTGGAGATCATTACTACGATAAGCTATATTTTATACTACATTTTTATGTTGGAGTTCTATATTACGACAGCAAGTAATATTCCTCTACAATAATCATTTTATTCCTAAGTGTGCATCTTTACAAAGATTTGATATTTAATGATCTGAATTTGCCTACCCTAAAGAAAAGCGAAGCGTGCCCACTTACATTCAGGTTTGCAGCTGAGGGGTAAATCCAGCTGTGTTTTAACGGAGCCTTCCCAGTTCCGGGATACCCTGGGTTGGAAGAGGGTTTTTCATAGAGCCCCAACAACCCTCAGGCCCGCCGCGCTTGCCTGGTCGAGCAACACGGGCGATTATGTATTGAAAATGAAACCTAACACCGTAGCTTCGGACCTCACGGGGGAGGTTAAACCCCAAACCGATTCCACTACCATCGAGGAAGGGCCGCGAAAACCCAGCCGTGGTGCTCCGGCTCCGATAGGAATGGAAGGGGCTGCTAAGACCAGCACCCTACTAGACACCAAGAACATTAACCCACACAACAGCGGAACCCAGCCGGGTACCAGCAAGGCAGCCACTGTTACGCATCAGCAGCGCAAGGCCAAGGTCAGTCGGGCTCGTTTTTTTCTCGACAAGATCGCCAAGAATAAGGCAGAGGGCAAGGCTGACCAGCGCGATGCGGAGGACAAGACTCGATGCCTTGCGGACTTCGAGGAAAACATGAGGACGCGCCCGGAGGCCGCGTGACCGCGGGACCGCTCGCACGAGGCAAGCGTGAGCGCACCCAAACGGGCAAAGGACGCTCTGGGGAGGCCAAGACCGAACTCCTTTGTGAAGAAGGCCGAGAAATTCAGCGACGTAGCCAGAGACAGCCTCGCGATGGCACAGGTGGACGACCTGCACGACGACGGACGCCTGCTGTCGGAGAAGTGGGAGGAGATCGAGGTCAAGGTGGCCGACATGATAGCTGAAAGGCTATCAGCCGTGCCAGATGGTCCGATCCCCTCCTTCGACTCGTCGGACATGGTCAGGAGGCACCGGGTGATCAAGTGCGATGACTCGTTCTCAAGGTCCTTCCTGGCGGAATGCAAAGCAAAGATTGGAGATGCATGGGACGGCCTGGGACGGTCCACGCCAGGGAGATTCCAAGGAGGCCGCGGGATCGCATTTGGTTGCCAAAGGATCAGACTGACCAAGGAAAGGTGCTGTCGCTCCTGAGGGCTCAGAACCCAGAAGTGCACACAGAGGACTGTGCGATACTTAAAGTAGAGAAGGAGATGATGACGAGCAAGCCGTTCCTCTTCCTCATCAACCAGCGCTGCCTGCCGCAGCTTGAGAAGGCCGACTACACCATCCGGTACGGCCTACGAAAGGCCAAGATCAAGGTCTTCCTGGCAGAGCCGGATGATGTTTTCGAGTTGGTCGATGACACCAACAAGCTGTTGGATGACCTGATCATCGACGACAAGACCCCAGACGTAACACCCAACACCGATGCCTAAAGTCGTGCTGATTAACCTGAAGCGCAGCACGCATGCTTCAGCCAATCTCGCAGTTCTTCTCAGTGAGAGGAACATTGACATAGGCATCGTTCAAGAACCATGGACTCGAGACAGACAAATCGCGGGTCTAACACAACAAGGATATACACTCTTTTTTACTAACTCGACAGGTAGGCAGCAGGTATTATTATAAAGAAAAACTATAACGCTTTTCTATGCCCCAATCTTAGCACACCGGATCTAGCAGTTACCAGATTCGTGGCAGCGGATGGGATATCGATGGTGATAGCCTCATCCTACATGGCCCATGTTGTAACACACGATCCTTTATATTCCCAAGCACTAGGGAATTTCAGGGATGGGAAGAGGTGTAAGACGGTTGAAAAGTGGATAGAGTCGAAACCAAATTCCTTTTCAGATCACATTTTCTTCGAAATTTCGATTCCGATTAGCAAACCGGAACCGAAACGTATCCCCCGTAGAACAAACTGGGACAAATTCGGTAGGATTGTCTACTCGAAAGTTAGCAACAGAAGAATACGGGTACAAACCTCTACGACGACCCTGGACAAGGAAGTAGAGGACCTAACAAACATTCTAAACAATGCATTTAAGGAAACATGCAAGGTTTCATACTCTAAGAAACATCACCTTTTATAGTGGACCAAAGAGCTTTGCACTCTGAGCAAGAGGGCAAGAAAAGCCTATAACTCAAGCTATGCTACCAAGGAATGGGAGCCATACAAGGAAGCACAAAAAGCATACAAAAAAGCGATATACGCAGCCAAGAAAGACTCTTGGAGGACTTACTGCAAATCGCTCGAAGGTATAAAAGACTCGGCTAGACTAAGCAAGGTCCTTGCTAAAGGGTATAAAAGCCCAACTCTATTACACAAACAAGACTAATCAGCGACTACAACAGTGGAAGAATCCCTAGAGCCACTAGTGGATACACACTTTCCAGGCTACCTTCGAGAAAAGCCAGCACCTACTGAATGTCAGAAGGCTCATCAACCAACACACACAAGGGATATCATAACCATTGAAAGAATCAACTGGCCGATAAACTTTTTCGATAAATACAAGAGTCCGGGGCCAGACGGCATTTTTCCGGCAATGCTTCAAGCAACACAGGTCAGCATCAGTAGGCGGCTGCAAGCCATTTACACGGCTTGCTTCAGACTAACACACATACCGCTTCTTTGGAAGGAAGCCAAAGTTGTATTTATACCGAAACCAGGAAGAAGAGGTCATATCCTAGCAAAGGATTACAGGCCGATCAGTCTTACCTCCTTCCTAATGAAAACGCTGGAACGAATGATCGATATTCATATCCGGGAAAACACCGAGAAGGAGCATCTATTGGACGCTCAGCATGCGTACCAAAGGGCAGATCGACAGAAACGACACTACACGAAGTAGTCTGCCACATAGACAAATCGCAACATTTTAACCAATATACAATGGCCACCTTCTTAGATATAGAAGTAGTTTGCAACATAGTAACGCCGAACCCATACTGAGCTCCCTCAACTCGATCGGCATTGAAGGAGACATCAGAGCTTGGATCGGAGTTATGCTCATGAGCAGGACGATAACAGCCGAACTGAGTGGCACTTACCTTACACGCTTTGTGAAGAGAGGCACACCTCAGGGCGGGGTTCTATCGCCACTGCTCTGGCTTATCAACATGAACGACATATTGAGAGAACTCAATAGCGGAGGAGTAAAAGTAGTAGCCTACGCAGACGACATAGTGTTGCTAGTATCAGGATCATTCCCAGATGTCATTAGTAACATAATGACGGGGGCCCTTACCCGACTCAATGAATGGCCAAAAACTTGCGGACTTGGTATAAGCCCGAGTAAAACCGAACTAATGCTCTTCACGCGAAAAGCAAAGATCCCAACATACAGTAAACCAAAAATAGATGGAATCGAACTCGAGCTATCGGGTAAAGCTAAGTATCTAGTGATACTAGACCCGAAGCTCTCGTGGAAACTGAACATCACGGAACGAGTAAGAAAGGCCAGCATAGCATTCTACTCGTGCAGGAAAATACGGCAGCGCAGAGTGCGAGACTGAAGGTAAGTAAATGCTGGAAAAGCTACCACACAGGGCACTGCCGTATCTTAGAGGACATCAACTATCTGGCTAAGAGCAAAACGGATTATATGACAGCGGAGATAAGATTTGGAAACGGATTTACGACTACCTTTCCAACGAGGAAATACTGGGAGAATTACAGAGTAACCAGACAAGATGAGGTGTCACTCTACACTGACGGCTCCAAGATGGACTGTGGTGTAGGGGCTGAAATTTTCGCTGAAAGCTGGGGGATAGAATCGAAATTCCACCTCCCAGAGTCAGCGACAGTTTTTCATGCTGAGGTACTTGCTATTTTAGAAGCAGACAAGCTTTCGATTCAGCAAGGCCTCAGGAATACCAAGGTAAGGATATACTCTGATAGCCGAGCGGCTATTAAATCTCTCGCAGCAGCAAGAACCAACTCGACACTAGTATCCGATTGTAAGTCGGCTCTTAGCATACTAGCAACAAACAACCATGTACAGATAACATGGGTGCCAGGGCACAAAGATATACCAGGAAACGAACAGGCGGATGAACTTGCACGAATGGGGTCGGCAGCGACTCCTATACAACTTGTCTACCTGAATCCCTAAATACAGACTAGAGACCTGCACGAGTAAGTAAAAATATACTCGAGTAGTACTCGGCGATGCCGATTACAACTGTCAAATCTGGCATCGTGGCATCGTAGAATCGTAGGAATCGGCATCGTTTGTTCGAACGAAATTTTGTTTAAAAAATATGGAGGTTATAGCAAAGCTGAACTCGGGAGAGTACAAACGAATCGAAGCCAGTGGCTCTAGTGAGGTATGGCAGTGCTTCTTCCGAATTATCCATGGATCTACTGGCGAAAACGTCGATTACGTGGGCTGTAAGAGGTGCGAGAAAATATTTAAATATGCGAAAGGGGCCAGTCCATCCAACTTAAAGAAGCACTTTTGTTTCAAAAGGGCCAGCGACAGTACAACAGTAGGACCCGCATTCAAAAAAACTCGTATGGTTGTAAGCGACCAAATGAAATACGAAGTCACAAGAAGTTGCTGTAAATTCGTGGCTAAGGATTTGCGCTCTTTTGAAGTTGTTAGCGGACCAGGATTTAAAGATCTTGCGAAATGCCTTGTCGAAGTAGGAGCAAGCATTGGCAGTACAAATTTTTCCACCGACGATATTTTGCCGCATCCCACCACTGTAAGCCGTAATTTGGTAAAGGAGTACGTTAGTGAAAGAGATAAATTTGTTGTTAAGCTGCGGCCCATTATTGAAAAAGGTTGGCTTTTGGGGTACATTTTTTTATACCCTTGCAGAGGGTATTATGATTTCAGTCAGAAGTTTGCAACGCAGTGAAGGAGACGTTTCCGACCCCATAAAGTATATATATTCTTGATCAGCATCACTAGACGAGTCGATCTAGCCATGTCCGTCTGTCCGTCTGTCCGTCTGTCTGTTTCTACGCAAACTAGTCTCTCAGTTTTTGAGCTATCGGGACGAAACTTTCGCAAAAGTCTTCTTTCTATTGCAGGTAGTATATATGTCGGAGCCGACCGGATCGGACAACTATATCTTATAGCTCCCATAGGAAGGATCGGAAAAAAAAACTTTAAAAAATTCTAGCTTCGGTGTTTTTTGAAATATTACCTTCTACTTTTGGGGATGTTATTTTTTATATATTTCTGAATTTCGAATTAATTATTTAAAAAATCGGACTACTATATCATATAGCTGCCATAGGAACGATCGGAAAATTAATGGAAAAATAATAGGAAAAAAATTCTAGCTTCTTTGGTTTTTATTGTATTATCTTCTACTCTAGGATATGATTCTTTTTAAATATTTCCGAATTTCAATTTTAATTTGATCAAAATCGGACGACTATATCATATAGCTGCCATAGGAACGATCGGAAAATTAATAAGAAATATTAGAAAATTGAACATTTTTGCGATTTGTTAATTAATAGGAATGATCTGCAAGGGTATATAAGCTTCGGCTGGCCGAAGCTAGCTTCCTTTCTTGTTTTTTATTGTTTTATTTAGTTCATATATTTTTAGATCGATGCGGAGGTACAATGGATATATGGACAGACAGTAAAAAACAACGCAGTTTTCTGACGCTAACGGTTCACTATATTGATTCCTCTTGGAATTTCCACACGTACGCTATATCTCGCTAACAAATTTATTTGCTTGTGAAAATGTATTAGACTCATTTATTCAAAAAACCTTGAAGCCTTGTGGTTAATTTGTGTTTTTTGAATCCTTTATTAAGTGAGCAATACATTTTCAACCTTTTACCGTTGTTATATTTATCACCTAATATTCTCGGCCACTATTTTAAATAAGTTACTTTCCAGGCGTATCCTTTTTACAACTGAGTTCGAAGCCGTAGACGGGGATGGCAATGCTATTAGGAAGACAGCGGAAACTGTTATTCGTTCAATAGGCGATAAGTTTGCGGAGTTGGGCCTTGATCGCGAAATTCATAAACGGATAAAGTTTACAACTGATCAAGGTTCAAATATAAAACAAGAGAGAACGCTATAGTCGGGTTGTTGTCCCGATTATCTAATACCCGTCACTCAGCTAAAGGGAGTGCGAACTCTGTGTCGGGTTGGTGTCCCGACTAATAATCGTAACTCAGCTAAAGGGAGTGCGAGGGAGATAGATATATAATTTTTGATTGCGTATAACTTTTTAATGAATGGTCCGATTTGAAAAATGTCTTCTACATTTCGATAGGTATAAATATACACAACAAAATTGCATTTATACTTCTCGGAAATCTTTAAAGATGTGGGCGCAGGACCCATTTTAAAATCGTTAGTGGGCGATTGTGGGCGTTAGAGGGGGCGTGGCGCTCGGCTAAAATAAACTTGCGCTGCGTAGGAAGCCAAAGAATATGTGTGGGAAAT